TGCTGGGGGAGGGTGTGCCGGGATGTGGGGGGAGCCTCGCGCGCGCCCGGTGCACTTCTGGCTCTGGAGGGCAAGTGTGTGATGAGGGCCTGAGTTGGGCGGCAAGTATGGCGAGAGTTCGTGTGTGTGGGTGTGTGGTCCAGCCTCGAGGTGTTGGTATGTGGGAGGGGGAAGCACAGTTGGGTGTTGAGAGGGAGCGCCCCCCGCTTCCCAGCTGCCCCCCGCCCCCGGCCCATCCCATTCACAGAACATGGCTTTCAGGACCCTCCTGGTCTCCTCCTCCGGTCGCCATGGCTGCGGGCAGAGGGTGGGAGGAGACAGTCGGGGCCAGCCCCCTGCCCCGCTGCTCTCGCTAACCCTCCACCTGCCCTTTCTCTCCCTTCCACAGGCTGGGCCCCATCTCCTGCTGCTCTGGGGGGCAGGGGCCGGAAGATGGTGGCCAATGAGGAGGGGGAGTGGAGAGAATTTGAGCCGGGCCTCCCCTCCCCCATTTCCTCCTCGATCTCGACACCCGCTTGGGGAAGGAGCTGGGGGATGGCTCCTGGGCCCAAGGTGGGGGAGGGGCCCTGCTGGCTGGTGAATTTCCCGGCCTGCTCCTAAGGACAGAGTTGGGTCGGTGAGTCGACAGAGGGGGATCTTGGTCCTAGCCCCTTCTGTCTTCTTGCAGGGGCGGGGGTGGGGGGCTTGAGAAAAAGAGCTGGGAACTCCTTGGGGAAGTCTTGAAGCCTGCTGGGCAGCCTTGCCTCGCTGCCTCCTGTTGGCCGGATCCATTTCCCAGCTGGCACCGGTTTGCCCAACCCCAGGAGCAGAGGCCTGGACACTGACCCCAGCAAGGCCTTCGTTTCCGCCTTTTAGAACTGTGCACGCTGTGGGCCGGGGCTCTTGTTTGCAGGACACAGGAACCCACTCTGCCTGGGAAGGCGGGAGAACCTCTCCTGTTTCCTGAGACGGAGTGGGGTGGGGGAGAGAGGGGAAGCCCAGAGTAAGAGCACCCGACTGAAATGCTGCCCTCCGCCCTTCTGTGGGGAGGGCTTCTCCTGGGGACCATCAGGGGATAGTACGCCTCAGCACTCACCCCCACAGCCGCTGTCTCTCTGGGCTACCTCTTAGGAGTGGGGTGCTCACCTTTCCCCAGCGCAGAACTGGAACTGAGTCTTGGGGCCACTGCCCAGTGGCTCGAGTACTCCCAGCCCTGGACTTTTGGGTATACAGGTGACCCTCCAGGGTAGCCTCCTGGTCTTTAAAAAATTGGGCTCTGGTTGTTGTGCCTGTGCTTCAGGCTGTTAGTTTAAGAAGGTTGGTGGGTGGTGGTGGAGTGGGGGAGGCTCAGGAGGAGAAGTGAAAGGGGCCCTGGGTAGGACCTCAAGTGACTCTGGTTTTATTTGCCCAGCCAACAAAAGCCTACCCCAACTCTGAACTAGAGGGAAGCAGCCTCCCTCTTCTGTCTCAGGCAATTCATAAAAGGCTGTCTAGACTTCCAGCAGGAGACCCTTGGGTGGGACTTCTCCATTGGATCGGGAACCTTCTCTCCTGCCCCCTGGGGGCCTGGGACCACACCCACCCACCCCTGGCCCTGGAGTTTCAGCTTAGATTGCCCCTTTGAGGCCCAAGGTCCCCTTCATCTATACTAAAGGAGCGAGTTCTCGAGTTGGGAAGAATTGAAGACTCTTGTCCTGGCCAGCAAGCTTTCTAGAAGAGAGACTGGCAGAAATGCAGGTGTAGCTAGAGGCTCAAACAAGGGTACCCCCGACTGTTTTTACCAGCCACCTGCTGTGGGGATTGAGCACCAACTTCAAGGTATTCATTGGCTTGCCTTCCTGAACCCTGTCTGCTCCCCCTCCCCCCTGCCCCAAACTTCAAAGCACAAGGCTCTTCTCTGTGTGGGCGGAAGGGGTGAAGAAGGCTTGCAAAAGAATGCAGAGAAGATAGGGCCAATACCAAGAAAGGACTGGAAGGGAGGGGGTCTGGAGTGAGGATGAATGGGGGCAGAGGGAGGCCCAGGGGCCCAGGGAAGGGGTGAGGAGGCAGAGCCGGCCGCCTCTGCTGCTGGCCAGAGCTCTTTTCACATTGTGCTACTGTCTGCACCGATCACTAGCAGTGCAATGTTAAAAGGGCATTGGCCGGGTAGTGCTACCCAGCGTTGGCTGCCTCCTCGGGGGTGACTTCCTTGACCATCTGGCTACCAATCCTTGAGCCAGGTGGTGATCTTCGGAGTCCAGTAGTATTTAGTACTAATCACTCAACATTGATATAGCTGCTTCCACATGCTGCACACGTTTGACACTGCGTCCCTCGTGGCCCCCTCATAATTGTCAGAGGTGAAATCAACTCCAGAAAATAGTGCCTAGATCTAATCAAAAGAGTACCAGCTCACCTGTCTGGTCTGTTTTTGTTTTGTAGACCCATGTGGGGAGGTTAAGTGGGCCTTTTCTTCTTGGGAAATCCCTTGGTGCAGATAGTTAACAAGCTTGGCTGCATCCCAAAAGCTTGGGACAACTCAGGCCTCTCAGAAAAAGAGCCTGACCATCTATTGCCCCCGCATCCTGTGAAAAGGGGCTCAGTCCTTGAAAAACCCCGCCACACACTTCTGACACACGGGGTTCGACACGGGGGTTTCGAACGCCTGGTGAATGGTTTTGTTTCTGGGAGGTGCCCTGATCTGCGGAGTGGAAAGTTTCGAATGTTATCTGCTGCTTCTAGGAGGGCACCCTCCAGTCCCAAGCCTTGAAGGACAGGAGTTGTGGCCTGTTAGTCAAAGGGGACACCCGGTTTCCAAACTCGGCCTGGGTTGGAGGATGAGTGGAGGGGATTGGAGAATCCCTGGGCCTAGAGTATACCTCCTTAGATAGGATGCACAGGGAAATGGCTAATCCACAAGGACCCATCCCCAGGGAGAAGCCCTTCCCTGCCTCTCGGGATTTTGCCAAGGCCCATTGCTCCTCCACCTGTCATCCCTAACCTTGCTGGTCACAGGGTACTTGATGTTTCTGGAAGGTTCACCTGCCTGCATATCTATCTGTAAGTTAGACTGGGGCTGCCCATGGCTTGATCTATGCTTCAAAGATTAAGCTCAAACTCTGGATCCCATGCCAGAGAATGGTCCTTCCAAAGGAGCTTAGGAGGAACTTGAGGACAGTGACACCACTGCCTTCTTAGTCTCCCAGAGTTCTTGGTTTCTTAAGATAGTGGATCAAGGAAGAGCAGCTAGTTTGGGGCTGATTTCCAAGGACAGTTTAGGGTTGAAGACAACCTCCCCCACTTGGGTCAGCATGGAGGCTGAGAAGAACAGGGCTTCTGGCCCCATGCTGGAGCCCACAAGAAAGATGTAGGCTTCCCCCGTTGGGTAAAGCAGACACTGAAGGATGGGATAGGCCACTGTCCCTGAGACCTTTTGGGTGAGAGGTAACATCCCCCAAACAAAAAAAAACCTTTGAGGCTTTGAGTCAGTTCCTTAACAGGGTTCCCGAAACTGCAATGCTGTGTTTCTACCACGAGCCACTGGCCGGGTCAAACCTCTGTCCTTTAGTAGCTGTTAAATAACCACTGCCTGCACCCCCAGGGGCTCCTTACTACCCCAGGGATGGAATCTGGGTTCCCTAAATTGGTTTCTGACAGCTCCCTGTCTCCTATTTTGTCTCTTGTCTCTCCTCACCGCCATGGCACCTACACTGCAGCCTTAGGGAACTTAGTGTTTTCTCCCTCAAATGGACTAGCTTGCCTTTGACTTACACGCAGTTCCTTGTGCCTGAGACACTCCCCCACTTAGCACTTGGCAGTCTGGCTTCTCCTAGGCCAGTCTTCCCTTTTGAGATGCCTTCACATCTGAACTCAGATCCTCTCCTCTGAGCTCCCACACTGAAAGTCCCTGCCCAGACTCAAATGGACTTGGCTCTAAGGATCAACCCTACTGGAATTGCCTGCCCATCGTCACCATGAGCCCCACGAAGTCAGGTTTCACTTACCCTGGCTTCCTTCGCCAGTGCTCTACCTAATGCCTGGCAAGTAAGCAGCACTCTCATTGAGTTGATACCAACTCATAGCAACCCTGTAGCACGGTAGCATTGCCCCTTGGGGTTTCCAAGACTAACTTTTAATGGGAGTAGAAAGCTTCGTTGTTCTCCCAGGAAGTGGCTGCTGTTTTCAAATTGTTACACTATACAGCTGGGTTTCCCTAGCAATTAGCAGGGGTTCTAGATACAATTGTATCAAGGAGTGAATCTGAATAACAACTTCGCTTACCGCGCAAGGTTTTTAAGCAATGTGTGCCCCTCCCCACGCAGGTGCCCAAGACCCAACAGTAAAAAGGATTTTTATTTCACTGCCCCCAAAATGCCCTTGGCTCTAGATTGTATTGATGCTGCAATTTCGAGCTGTTTTGTTGCACTTATCAACTGCCAGCGCAGTGCCTTGGCTGATTGATTTTTCTTTTAGCCTGAGTTTGGCCAGGAGCTGACACAAACATTACAGACCAGGCTGAAACGCAGTCATACCCAAGGAAACTTCTGAGACGTTTCCTCCTGCTGCCCAGTCCTGGATCCAGGCACACATTGATTCATTGTCAAGGGTTCCAAGCTTCAGCTGGAACATACCTCACAAAACTCATTCTTACTAAGCAAAAGCTCACCTGAATGCCCATCACAGCAAAAAAAAAAAAGGTGGCCCTGGATGGCACAATCCAGCCATTCACTGAATGGTGCGGTTCCTAGTGGTGCACAAGAAAGGCCTGGCAATATGCCTCTGGGTTTCTAAAGCGAGGCTGTCAATTCCATTCTGTCTCCTGGACACTTTGTGTTCACAGAGTATAACTGTGCACCTTTACTCGCTGGGATTGCCACGAGTTGGAATTGACTAAACTGGACTGCCTTTTGATGTGTTTTATAAAAGCGCAAGTGTGTGGGGGGGGTGTTGTCTTAAAAAGTTACTCTGCTGCCCTCTTGTGGTAAGAGGGCAGGGAGGCCAGGACGGGACTGCAGGAGGAAGAAAAGTCAGAGGACAGCTCCTCAAGGTTGCTTTTCCCCTTTTTATTAAAAATAGACCCAAACATTTTATGTATCATACAAAAGTATCATTCGCTGGTGGCAGCCACGGGAAAGACCGGCCCCGTAGCACTGATTCTCCCTTTTTCCCTCCAGGGAGCAGTGGCAGGGCCTGGGAATGTCCACCAGGACTGCCTGCTCTGGGACAGCCAACACAGGTGGGGGGCGGGCACTTCCCCGGGGCAGTCTCCTCTGTCCCACAGCACAGATTAGCTACTCAAAGTGCCTTTTTAGTGCCAAGATCAACTACCAAGTGGCGTGAAATGGAAACCCCTCTGAGCCTTTTTATGTTTTCCCAGAATCTGGGATTGTGATTTCTCCTTCCACCCCCAAGTCCTCCTGCGACCTACTGACTGGGGGTGGGGTGGGAAACTCTTCCCCTTCTGTGGGAGTCTGGGCCCTCCTGGTGTCTGAGGCCCACATGCCATTGGAACCCAAGCGTTTCCTCATCTGCTATTCTCCTGTGGCCGGGGTCCTACCGGCCCTGTGAGCCAAGGTTGTCCTCTGTTCTGTCAAGAGCTGGTGAGGCAAAAGCTGACTCCTCCCCTGGCCGCCTCTGCCTGAGTACACCTGGTCACTGCCTTAATATTCCGGACCTTGGGGTCCCATAGCCACCCCTTTTCTCCCCCGGTCTGTGTCTCCCTGATGGCCGCCCACCCCTGAGCCTTGAACACCCCTGGGATACTCCAAGCCCCTTTTCTGCAAGGGGTCTGGTAGTGATGAGGTGAGGGCAGGGGAGGGGCTGATTGGAGCCGGGTTTCCCCCAGGGGTGGACAGTACTCATGCTGGTATGGACAGCTTGGCAGGACCAGGGGGCATGTGAGAGGGAGGATGGGGCATGCGGAGGAAGGGCATAGCCTGCTTGAGCCCCTCAGTCCCAGCCGTTGTCCTTTACCATGTGGGACATTTCAATGATGTACTTCCCTTCCTTGTACTTCTGGCTCGTCTCAAATGCTTGTTCCTGGTGGAGGGGGAAGCAGTGATGGTTGGACACAGCAGCCCTCTTGCCCCTTAGATGGCCTCTGTGCCAAGTGCCCCCAAGCCAGCAGTGAGCTTGCCCTTCAAACCACGCAAAGACCTGACTGGTGGCCACAGGTGGCCCTGGAGAAACAGAGGACAGGCCCTGCTCCTTGGGTACTCACATATTTCCAGCCCAACGTGGTTTTGCAGCTCTCACAGAAAATATCAGCTACCGAGTGGAGCCCCGTGAGCAGGAGGCGCTGTTCAGCTGGCCCGCAGCCCACGTTGACCCTGTCTCAGGAAACAGGAAGGACCCAGCACCCGGTGGGGAGGGGGCTCGATCAGTCCAGTGCCCCCAACAGCCCTTTGGAAGTCCTGTCTGGAGAGAGCTCAACCACCCCATCTCTGGGTGCCTGGCAACACCGGCCTTGGTGGTCTGCCCCTCTGTGAGCTGCGCACCTGCAGAAACTGTCCAGAGCACCCACCCCAGTAAGCTGCAGGTGGATTTTCAGAGCCCCTTTGGCAAGAGGGGTGGCCAAAGGAGAAGATGCAAGATTCTGACCTGGTGGCCTAGCTCCCCATCTCTACCAAAGAAGACACCCCATGCACACACCACACACATGCCCAAAGAAGGCGGGAGACTCACACTGAGTTAAACAGGTACGCTCGGCCATGGCTCCCTTGAAAGGACTGTGGAGATGGAGAGGAGGCTTTGTTAGCGCCCCAGCTCCTTGTGAGAGAGCAAAAACGGGAGTGGCGGTCCCCCACCTAGCGTACCTTGGAAATAAGCTCATCGTGTTTGGCCAGGTGCGCACGGCAGTGGACGCAGCTGTAAGTTCGGTGGCAGCGGGGTAGGTAGCTGCGGAAAGTCTTGGTGGGGAGGCAGGCAGCGCCCGGGCCGGGGTCGCAGCTGGGCATGACAGGTTGGAGCGCGATGCCTTGGCGGGCTGGAGGGGCTGGCGCCGTGCAGCCCCCACACAGACGATCGCAGGTGAAGCAGCGGAGCAGGTTGGCTAGAGCCGTGTTTCAGGGCAGGAGAAATGTGGGGGGGCTGCCCGGCCAGGGCCCCCCCAGACGAGAACCAGACAGAAAAGGGAATCACCTGGGAAGAGGGAGAGGCGCATCAGGAGAGCAGAGGACCTTGCGAGAATCTTCTCTTAAGGGGTGAAGCGGAGGCTCAGGCACTTTCCCCCTACTTCCTAACCCCATCCTGGCACCCTCCCCAGCACCCAGTGGCACTGGGTCTCCAGGCTGCCTGGATTCCAGTTCTGCTTTGGCCAGCCTGGCAGTGGCTCCAGGCTGCCAGTGCCATAGCCAGAGAGCTGGTGTCTTGCCCTCCTGGGGCTGTAGCAGCCTCCACCGTTTTCCACTGAGAGCAGTCTGTTGGCACAAAGGCTGCCATGGGAGCCACGTCACTGCAAGTGCCCTCTCCTTGGAGTTCAGCTCATCCATGAGGCATTGCGCTGCATAGGCAGTGATGGGACTGGTCACCAGGCCCAAGGCCTTGGAAGAATTGGGGTGCCTGGTGATTTGCATATGCAGCCCGGCTGGCCCTTCACACATTTGTATGGGAAGGACAGACAGGTACACACTGCCTAGGCCCTTCCTTGCCTGGGGAGCAGGGGGCTGCGTGCTGGGACTCTGCTAGAACTTTAAGGATGTCTCCATGGATGAAGAGCCTCATGTGGCCGTTCCCGAATCCCGTGCCTTGGGCCACTCAGTCCAGTCCAGCAGAAGCGCCAGGCAGCCTGAGCAGCCTCTGGGCTCTCTTGCACTTTCTACTGCCCTCTGCTAACAGTGGCTTTTGTCCTGGGTCAAGGGCTTAGGTAGCCAGCCGCCCTGCAGAGACATCTTTCCTTCCCACAAATCTGCCTGAGCTAGAACCAATGAGTGAGTCAGGTCTCCAGGGCCAGGCAAGTGCCAGAGGGGCCTCCACTGTGAATAGGAGCAGCTGATTTCCAGAAGCTGTGCTTTGGAGTTCCGGGCAGAGAATAGTATTCCCACCTTCTTCCGAGCCCTAGCACCAACAGCAGTGACTGCTGGTGACTGAAGTGCACAGCCTTGCTGGTGCTCATGTGGGATCTTGAAGAGGTGGCTGGGGGCAGAGGATAAGAAGGGAAGTGGTTCTCTGGTGGCTCTGATAAGCAGGGGAGTGTAGTTTTCTTCTGGGGCTTTCTGACCCATGATGGAAAACCCAAGTCTGGTTGGCAGCTGGGTGCTCCGACAAGGCACCACTAGACCAGTATGCCTAAGAAGACACAGTGCCGTGCTGATGAGCCTGGGCAGACGGCCCTCTCCTCCTCCTGCCCTCTGCAGTGGCCATCAGCCGGGGTCCAGGCAGCCCCACTCCACTGAAGCCCCTGGAGAGACCATCTTCAGCTTCTGGCCTCCCCCACTGACAGGACCCCAGTTAGGCACCTTGGGCTGATTCAGGGTGACATTGGGGTCTGGCGGCAGGGGAACCACCAGCCCACATCCACTTCAGCTTGGCCTGCGAGCTCCTCTGGGATCTGCACCCCAAGCAACACCTTCGTCCAGGGTGGGGACAGGGGCCGCTCCAGGTGCTAGCCCCTGGGGCTCTCTCGGGGCGGCACGCCTCCCTCCCACCCCCAACCCTCCACCTCCACTCCTCCCTGCCAAGCCCCGGAGAGGCTGCCTGGAAGGCCAAGCAAGCTCAGAAGGGGATTAGGGGCCATTTCTTTTCCCCCGGAGAAGCAAGGTAGGCAAAGGACTGGGAGACAACAAAGGCTTGCTAAACGCTGGGGGTGCGGGGGCGGTGGGGAGTGGACCCCGCACGGAGACGGGGGAGACTGGGGGAGGGGAGCGTCGAGGCTTCGGCAGCGCTGCCAGCTGAGGCGCCGAGGCGGAGGCTGGAGGAACCAGGTGCGAATCCCGTGCCTCCCAGAAAAAAAGCAAAGGGAGGGGGGGGCATCTGCTCCCCACGGATCTGCTCGGAGGCTCCGGCCCCCTCCCGCCTCCCGGGCTGGCGTGGTCCGGTCCAAACCCCGAGCAGCGCAGTCAGCTTCCCGGGCGGGCTTCGGGGGTCTGCACCAATGACGCCTGCTGCCGCCGTCGCCGAAGTTACCGGGAAAGAAGTGCGGGAGCTTGCAGCTTGGAGAAGGATGGAGGCAGCGGGGAGGGGAAGGGAGGGCCGAGGGTGGGGGCATGCCGCTTTTTGCCGAGGGGAGCAAGCAACGCGCAGCCCGCGGAGGACATTTGCCAAAGGGGGTGGGGGGTGGGCTGGCCCCTCACCTTGCGGTCTGCTCCCGAGATCTCCGTCTATCTCCCTCTCTCTCAATCTCTCAGCTCACTCTTCTCGCTTCTCTTTCTGCTCCTTCAATGGGGGAGGGGGAGGGATAGGGGACTAGTTAGGGGCTTCAAGACGGGGCGGGGGGGCGGTTGCCAAGCTGACCAGCTGCTGGGGGGCCAGAGGTTGCCTCTGGTTCTGAGCCTCGGTCTGTGGGTGAATGTGGCTGTGTGTTGTGGAACTGCATCATAACACTGTGAGTCATCCGCCCCCCCCCCTTCACCTCCCACGTCAGAGCAGGGCTGGGAGACACAGAAGGCAGGGAGGAAGGGAGGGGGCTGGGGGGATGATGCAAGGGACAGGAGGGCCGGAGGAGAGGCAGGTGGCTGAGGAGAGAGCCTGTGGGGAGGATCGGGCTGGCTGGGGATGGAAGAAAGGTGGCCAGGGGGGGTGAAGGCTTCACCCAGACATCGAGAAGGATGCCTTTGCCCATTTCAGCTCGGACACCAGTCCGGAGGCAGGGAGAGGAGATGGATTGATTGTCGCGGGTGGCTTGGACAAAGCCTTCAAGCCTCGGTTTAATATCTCCAAAGGACTCTGCAGCCCCACAGGACACCTCACACGCAGAAACCCTCGATCTCCCACCTCCGGGGGACTAGTGGCTCATGAACGCCCGCACCCACGTTACATAAGATCCTCTCGGGCAGTAAACTTTGGAAGGCAGGTCCTCCGGAAAGCCCTCCGCATCTCAGGCCTGCAGTACCTTGCGCAGAGCCTGGCATCCAGGAGATGCTCATGAATTAGTAATTGAGTTGCACATTCAGACAGGGTCCAAGTGTGCAGCTTTGGTCGCACAGGGACCTGCATTAGAACCCTAGGACCACAGCACCACCAAGGCAAGTTACTGATCCTCCTTGGACCCGTTTACCTCTTGCTAAACGGAAGGAATAATAGTTACCGATATAGAGAGGTGGTAAAGTCAGATCACAGGAACACACCCAAAAAGGTGCCTGGCACCTGATAAGTGCTTAATAAACATGTTGGTGGTGGTGGCGGGAGCTGCTCATAAGTTGGCCTCCCAGTGGAATGGAACCATGATGGGCTGGAGACAGGACTGTGGTGACCCATGGGGTTTTCAGTGGCTGTTTTGCTGTTGTTAGTTTGCTAGGCTTTTCTCCCTAGTCAGTCTTAGTCCGGAAGCTCCGCTGAAACGTGTTTAGCATCATAGCAACACGAGAGCCCCCAGCTACAGGCAAGTGGTCTCTGAGCACGAAATACACTGACCAGGAATCAAACCCAGGAAGGCCTTCTCAGAAACAGCAAAGCAACAACCAAACTCTATGCCGTCAGGTCGATTCTGACTCAGAGCAACCCCACAGAACAAGGCAGAACTGGCTCTGTGTTTCTGAGACTGTCAGTCTTTACAGGAGTAGAAAGCTTCGTCTTTCTCCCAGGGAACAGGTTGGTGGTTTTGAACTGCTGGCCTGTGTCTAGCAGTTCCCATGATTTCAAAATAGCACCCTTGTCAATGACTCAGACATCCATTTTCGCTGCGGCATTGTTGTATGGTCTGTTATGAGGTATCTGGCAAGGGCAAATGCATCTGGACAGAAAGCAGGTTAGAGTTGACCATGAGTTGAGGAGCTCTGGTGGCGCAGTGGGTTAGGAGCTGAGCAGCTAACCACAATGTCAGCCATTGGAAACCATCAGTCACTCTGTGGGGGAAAGAGGTGGCTTTCTACGCCCATAAAAAAAAAATGACAGTCTCAAAGACCTGCCAGGGGAGTTTTACTCTGTTCGCGCGGGACATTATGAGTCACTGAAGTGGCAGTGAGTTTGTTTGCTTTGGTGGGGGAGTTACCGTGGAAGGTGGGGTGCGAATGGTTCATGGGTACAGAGTTTGGGTACAGAGTTTCTGTTTGAAGTCTTGAAAAAGTTTCCGAGACTCACGGTGGTGGTTGCACAACGTTGGGGTTGAAGGTAGTGTCACAATTCTACCCTTACAATGGTTAAAACTGCAGATCTGCTGCTACAGATATTCATAAAAACAGCAGTTTAGATTCATAATAAAGGCTATTTATGGAGCACATAGGCGCACACACATACAAAACCGTAAACCAGCATTCTGAATTTATTACTTACCCCTAAACCCAGAGATTCACTATCAGATTGCGCTATCTCAAGCAACACACAGGGCTAATTTGTGTCTTACAAAGACGTATCTTTTGCGCTGTGTCCGCTCTACCAGTTTCTAGTGAAGCTTCATTCGTCTCAGAATATGTGTCCGGGAGTGCTGCCCTGGTCATGTCACTGAAGTGTGTGTGCACAAAGCACATCCCCTAAGGGGGGAAAAATCCCTCCCCCCCCAAAAAAAGAGCCTAGCCATAAGAAAGTGAAATTGACAATGGATACTTTCAAAAAGAAGTGCTCATGTGCAGTGTGTTGTTTGCCTGCAAACCAAAAAGCCAAAATCACTGCTGTCAGTTCGATTCCAGCTCACAGTGACCTTATAGGACTGGGTAGAACTGCCCCTGCGGGTTTCCACGATTTAAATCTGTACCAGATAGACAGCCTCATCTTTCTCCTGAGGAGCGACTGGTGGCTTTGAATTGCTGACCTTGTGTGTAGCAGCTCAGTACCTATGTCACCAGGGCCCCGTGTTCACCTGTAAGGAGGGACACAAAAAGTTCAGAGGGATCTGTAATATGAAGCATGGCTAGCTGGTCATAGCAAAACAAGACAGACAAGAATTCTGAATACTTAACCAGGGAAACCTCTAGCACTTCAGGTGAATTCTGAAAAGTACCATGTGAATATTTAAGGAATGGTACCTGAAGGCGAGCTGGGAAAGGAAAGCAGCCAGAAGTGGTCTTGCCTGGGCAGCAGGTGGAAAAAGGAACTGTCAAAGGAGGCATTTGAGAAGTCATTGTTGAGAACAGTGGGGAGTGGGAAAAGATGAGTAGCTTTGGGGGCCCAAATGGACAGTCCTGAGGCAAAAAAAGGAATGCAATGACGTTAAAGGGACTCAGGAAGGAAAATGATCAAGGGCTTGGCAGGAGAGGAGAATGAGGTGGATATAGAAAGGTGGTATCATTTGGGGTTGAGCCTGACAGGAATGCTTGGTAAAAGATGGAAAGCGAGAAAAAGATCTGGTGGGCAAGCAGAAGATGATTTCTAAGTTGTCCCTGTCTACTTAAGAAGCAACACGAAGTGGGTCTAAAAAAGGGAGAGCTCTTTTCTCTACATTCATTTTGAGATGAAATGGTCAGACTATCCAAATAAAGGTGACCTTCACATCATTGGGCAAAAGGACCTCAAGTACAGGAAGAGAGTGTAGAAGGGAAGAGAAACAGATCTGGGAGATACGTTGCTTAAAAAAAGAGAGGAGATCACTAAGGGAGAGGTTTCACTGAGGTTCAACCTGAACTGATTTTTTTTTTTTTTGACAAATGATGAAAGATGGTTGTTGTTACCTGCTTTAGATCACCAGCCCTTTATTCCTCATCTTAAAATGGAAGCCGCACTGAAACCTATTTAGCACCAGAGCAACTTGCAAACACCCAGTGATCCAGGCATGAGTGGTGGCTGTGTGTGAGGTACCCTGGCTGGGCATTGAACCCTGAGCTCCTGAAAATACAAGAACCACCAAGTTCATTCTGACTGAAGTTGTTATATGCAGTTCAGTGGGTTCCATCTCAACTCTGCACAGCAGAACAAAACACAGCCCAGTCCTACACTCTCCTCACTGTCGTTATGCTTGAGCCCATGTGGCAGCCACAGTGTACAATCCATCTCCTCGATCAAACATGACACTCTTCCCCAGGGGCTGGTCTCTCCTGATCACACGTCCCAAATACATGAGAGAAGTTCTTGCCATCCTCGCTTCCAAGGAGCATTCTGGCTGTACTGCTTCCTAGACACATTGGTTTTTTTCCTTCTGGTAGCCCATCGTACTGTCAACATCCCTCTCCAGCACCATAATTCAAACACACCGATTCTTCTCCAGTTTCCCTTACTCAGTGGCCAACTTGGGCATGCATATGAGGCGATGAAAAACACCATGGCTTGGGTCAGGTGCACCTTAGTCCTCAGAATGACACCCTGGCTCTTCAACACGTGAAAGAGGTTTTGTGTAGCAGACTTGCCAACTCAGAGTAGGCAAGAATTCTACCATGGAACCACCACTGCGTTCTCTGGTGCAATTCTGATGGCAATTTAAAATCTTTAGTTGGAGAAGAAATGAATGAACAAATCAAATGAAATAACTCAAAAGATGGAGACGTGAGGACTGCATGCTTGGGAAGTAAGTGCTAAGGTGGGGGCTCATAAGAGAAATAAAAAGACAAACTAGCTCGGTGGTTATCAACTTTCCTAATGCCACGATCCTTTAATACAGTTCCTGTTGTGGTGACCCCTGAACTGTAAAATGATTTCCATTGCTACTTCATCACTGTCATTTTGCTGCTGTTATGAATTGGGTGACCCCTGTGAAAGGGTCGTTTGACCCCCAAAGGGATCTCGACCCACAGGTTGAGAACTGCTGAACTAGCCAATCTTCCCAGTCAGCGGTGGGAATTAACCATGCCAGCCAGACTGAAAAGTACTCACCTGAAAGGGGGGGTAGGGGGAGCGGCAACTATAGAACCTACCTCACAGGATCTGTCAACTACCTGGCACCTAGAGTCACTTAAACTCCCAAACTCACCGCCATCGATGCCTACTCACAGCAGCCCTATAGGACAGGATAGAACTGTCCCTGTGAGTTTCCCAGACTGCAGCTCTTCACGGGAACAGAGCGCCTCCTTTTTCCTCCCTTGGAGAGGCTGGTGGTCTGCAACTGCTGACCTTATGGTTAGCACTCCAACGGGTAACCACTATGCCATGGCGGCTTAAGTGTTTGGTGTGATTGCAACTGAACGGGATTCCAAAATCCTGGGTTTGAGTCTGACCTCAGCTACTTACTATGAAGTTTGGGCAAGTCCCTTCATGTTCGTTTCCTTCCTCACCTGAAATTGGAGATAGCAACTCGACCTTTATAGGGAGGGGCTGTGAAAGAAGTATTTCGGGGGGGAAAAAAACAAACAACTGTACAAATGGATGGTATTATTATATTTATTCTATAATAAAGAATTCGTAGCCGATATTAGTTGTTGTCTACGTGACAGATATTTGCTTAGGGTCTTATTTATATCATTCCTTTCAATCTTCAAAACAACTCTAAGAGGTTGGGTACTGTTATTGTAGCCATTTAACAGACAAGAAGCTGGGTCACACAGAGTTTAAACCTGTGATTTGCCGAAAACCACAGTGCGAGCAAGTGGTATAGCAAACGTTAAGCTTCCAAACCCCAATCAGGTAAGACCATTTTATAGACGCATGGGCAACCTTGCGGGCTGCAGAGTACATGATGGACCTGGGGTACCTGTCAAGGTTTTAGGGCGGACAACCAAACTCATTGGCATAGGGTCGAGGCCGACTCACAGTCTCCCTACTGGACAGGGTAGAACTGCCCCCTGACGGTTTCTGAGACTCCTTACGGAAGTAGAAAGCTCCGTCCCCTCCCGCCCCCCCTCCCAGCGGCTGGTGGCTTTGAACTGTTGACCTTGTGATTAGCAGCACAAAGGGTAACCACCACGCCACCCGGGGTGTTAGGGAGGGGAGCAGTCTCCAACAAAATGCCCTGCTCCGTGGAAGAAAGGCTGTTGGGTATTGAATGACTTAAGAATTGAAAGACACCTCTTGGGCGTTAATTCTCTTATTTTAAAACATTCGTTTTTTTGAATGCCCTGTGTCAAGCGCCATGTCAGAGAGGGGAGGACAGGTCAGTTGAGCAGGCTGTTTTTTCCCACTTTCCCTACTCCTGTTTCCTCCGGCCCACACGGAGTTTGGCTAACTCCTCCCCTTCCCGGCTGGCTGTCCCGTCAAGCAGACCACAGTGGGACCCACCAGGTGGACGTCCCCTCCCCACCCTGGCCAGCCCTTCCACTTTCCCGGGCAGCAGGTGAGCTGGGAGTCCGAATTAGACCGACCCCGCAAGCGCCGCACCTCGGAGCGGGTTGGCCGGTCAGCTAGGCCCCGCCCGGTAGGGGGCGTAACCCCGCCCACTGACGCGCGCATAATATCGACTGCGGCCCCACCACCGTTGGCATCACGATCAAAACAATCCTTTGACTACAACTCCCACAAGACCTAGCTTCTGGGCGACCTCGACGGCACGCGCTGTTCCGGCTCGGGCCCGTGTATTCTCGCGCGAACACGTCTACTTCCTCTGCGCTGGTGCGGAAGCGTGCTAGTTTCCGGCGTGGTGGTGGGCGAGCGAGCCTTGACGCTGGTCGTCTTCGGGTCCCCGCTTTGAGAACTTCGTGTTTGCCGATTTGGACTCTAGATCGTGCGGGTGAGGGAATAAGCTCCTAAACGCCGCCGCCGAGGGAGGCTGAGGCGAATGTTGGAGCTAGAACTGCGGTGGGGAGTCTGTCCGCATTCTGGACGGTTTCTCGGCTGTCAAAGTTTCTGTTGTGCCTTTTACCTTTCCAGGTGTTTGTCTTACCGGACAGCCCTGTGTGTGAGGAAGTGTAAGTGCCCTCAGTTTACAGCGGAGGAAGCGCTAGATTCAGAGAAGTCGTCATTTGCCGAAAGACACCGCTAATAGTTGCAGAGCCGGGCCTTACGCTGTTTTCTAAATCCAGACCCGGTATTCTGCGTTGCGTCTGAGTTGAAGGCTTTCTGCCTTGTTGACGAAGGTGGGTGGGGAGTGGCATTTATTGAATTTGTTGTAAAATTCTCAAATCTAGATTACTAACCTAGTCAGCCCTCTGCTAAACTGTAGTTCGTATGGCTACCCTTTCTTGTCTGAGATGTTTATTCAGTCAGTGTATTTATTGAGATGTCGGGTTGGTTTAGCCCGTTCTAGGCACTGAAAATACAAAAATAAAAATGTCTAATGCAGGGAATCCAGGGCGGATGATCCCTTCAGGACCAGTGGTGTGAGTGGCGATACTGGGAGGGTAAAGGGAGGGTGGGTTGGAAAGGGGGAACCAATTCCAAGGATCTTCATGTGACCTCCTCCCTGGGGGACGGACAACAGAAAAGTGGGTGAAGGGAGATGTCGGGCAGGGCAAGATATGACAACATAATAATTTATAAATTATCAAGGGAGGGGGAGTGGGGAGGGAGGGGAGAAATGAGCTGATGCCAGGGGCTTAAGTGGAGAGCAAACGTTTTGAGAATGATGAGGGCAATGAATGTACAAATGTGCTTTACACAATTGCTGTATGAGCCCCTAATAAAATGAATTAAAAAAAAGTTCAAATAGAAAGAGAAGGAACTTATGACGTTTCAAAGAATGTCTAATGCTCACATTCTAGTTGCGGTGTGGATGGGTGATGGGTAAGAGAACGTTCACTGGAGGATATTGAACATTGGTCTTTTTGTAATAAAAAAGTTTATTTTTCCTTTTGTTTTATTTCAGTCATTTTATTGGTGGATCATACAGCTCTTATCACAATTCATACATTCATCCATTGTGTCAAGCATATTTGTACATTTGTTGCTATCATCATGTGCACAACATTTTCTGTCTACTTGAGCCCTTGGTATCAGCTCATCCCCCCCATCCCCCCACCCCCCACCCTCCCTCTCTCATGAACCCTTGATAATTGATATGTATTTTTTTCATGTCTTACACTGGCGGTCTCTGTCTTATGTATAGACTTCATATTTAATTTGTGTGGTTTTCATTTTTGTTACTTCGTGTGAGGTTTGGGGTTTGTATTTCAGATTTAGTTTCTTTTTCAGGCCTAGCGGCCACACCCACAAAATGGGAGAGGAGGCCAATGACGACAAGAAGCCGACAACTAAATTTGAACTAGAGAGAGAGACAGAACTTCGCTTTGAGGTGGAGGCATCCCAGTCCGTTCAGTTGGAGCTGCTGGCTGGCATGGCAGAAATCTTTGGCACAGAGTTAACCCGGAACAAGAAATTCACCTTTGACGCTGGTGCCAAGGTGGCTGTTTTCACTTGGCATGGCTGTTCTGTCCAACTGAGTGGTCGCACTGAGGTGGCGTATGTATCCAAGGATACCCCTATGCTACTGTACCTCAACACCCATACCGCTCTGGAGCAGATGCGGAGGCAGGCGGAGAAGGAAGAAGAGCGAGGTCCCCGGGTCATGGTGGTGGGTCCCACGGATGTGGGCAAATCCACAGTTTGCCGTCTACTACTCAACTATGCAGTGCGTCTGGGCCGCCGTCCCACTTACGTGGAGCTGGATGTGGGTCAGGGCTCTGTCTCCATCCCTGGTACTATGGGGGCCCTCTACATTGAACGGCCAGCCGATGTGGAAGAGGGCTTCTCTATTCAGGCTCCTCTGGTCTATCATTTTGGCTCTACCACTCCTGGTACCAACATCAAGCTTTATAATAAGGTCAGAGCCCTGATGAGGGGAAGGGAGGGATTGCTGTGTGTGTTGGACACTTGTGTGCCAGTTGAAACTGTCTGCAGCTGTCCACTCCCTCTCAGCTGGAACTCATTGCTGTGTGATTTCAGAAGAGAAGATTTCACACACAGGGGGGTAAGCCAAGACATAGAGCTAGTATCTTTCCAGCCGAAATGTGCATGGCTTTATTCCAAACCGAGTGTGTTTAAACATGTCTCTCTGAGCAGTGGATGGCTGCAAACAAGTTGTCTCAGTTAAACACTGGTCTTGGTCTCCTTAGGATGCCTTCCCAAAAAGGTCCCATCAGCAGCTTCAAGGGGACCCGTTGGGTCAATTAAACCCCAGGCAAAGAGGTCAGCTCAGGTTGTGTCATCTGATTTGGGGGATCCCAAAGGGGTAGTCTTTGTTTTTCTCCAAGCCCACCGGATGATCACAAGGACTTATTAGGAAGAAATTTTAAGAAAATGGAAAACTGCATTGGTTTAAAAGAGGCGGGGTGGGGAGGGCGGAAAATGGCACTGGGGAAATTTTTTTTCTCCTTCATGATTATGTACCTTCGCATTTTTTTTCCACGGTAGCAAGGGCTGGCCTTTGAAAATTTTGTTGGGAAATCTTACCCCACCCCATTCCAATGAACAGTTCTTACCTTGTTCCTTCAGACTTCTTTTTGTTCCAGAAACTCAAAGGAACACAATTTGAGTCCCTTGAGGATGCCAAAATTGCCGTTTTAATGTGTAAATCAAAGAGCGCAGAATTCTTCAGGAAAGGGGTAGAGAGATGGAAATACCACCATCAGCAGGCCTAATGAGAGGCTGTGTTGAAAAATAGTAGCTACGCATTTTGAATTTTTTTTTAATAAGGGTTTCTGTGAATATGCAACAATACTTTTTGATGTATGCGCATATTGGCCACCCTCAGGTGTTAAAAATTTCAGTAGATCTATTAGTAAAAGTCTTGGTGTTAGCAAAAATAGTTTGTGCTTGACTCACTTATCCAAAGGTTGGCAGTTAGACCCCATCGTGCAGTACTAAGGAAGAGCGGCTTGGAGATATGCTTCTGTGAAGATTGCGACCAAGATCTGTAAAGATTACAACCATTAAAAACCATTCCATGACATGGGTTCCCATGACTCAGAACTGCCTCAGTAACACTGGGTTTTTTGGTTGTTTTTTTACCATTTATTGAGATTTTTGCTAATTCTTAGCAATGGAGTCAATGATTTCTACTAGGACATAAAATGGAATTAATATAAAATATTATAATATAAATATATATAAATAAATAGAATATAAAATAAAATAATATATTAATATAAAATAGAAATAACTTTATGTAGGTGAAACAGCAACCAATTTTCCCCCCCTTATATTCAACATTGCTTATCCTAACTAGCCTGGGTTTGTCTTGTTTGGTTCTCACCTTGGTCCTTTCTTCTGCAGATTACATCTCGTCTGGCAGATGTGTTCAACCAAAGGTGTGAGGTGAACAGGAGGGCCTCTGTGAGTGGCTGTGTCATTAACACCTGTGGCTGGGTCAAAGGCTCTGGCTACCAGGCTCTGGTGCACGCAGCCTCAGCCTTTGAGGTAGATGTGGTTGTGGTTCTGGATCAAGAACGGCTGTACAACGAACTGAAACGGGACCTACCCCACTTTGTACGGACTGTGCTGCTCCCTAAGTCAGGGGGTGTAGTTGAGCGCTCCAAGGACTTCAGGCGGGAATGTAGGGATGAACGTATCCGGGAGTATTTCTATGGATTCCGAGGCTGTTTCTACCCCCATGCCTTCAATGTCAAGTTTTCAGATGTGAAAATCTACAAAGTCGGGGCACCCACCATCCCAGACTCCTGCTTGCCACTGGGCATGTCTCAGGAGGATAATCAACTGAAGCTAGTACCTGTCACCCCGGGCCGAGATATGGTGCATCACCTCCTGAGTGTAAGCACTGCGGAGGGCACAGAAGAGAACCTTTCGGAGACCAGCGTTGCTGGCTTCATTGTGGTGACCAGTGTGGACCTGGAGCATCAAGTGTTTACTGTCCTCTCTCCAGCCCCCCGTCCACTGCCTAAGAACTTCCTTCTCATCATGGATATCCGATTCATGGATCTTAAGTAGAGGTCAGCACAAAGCCTTACTTCCTAGGACGTAGAGACCTGACTGTTAGCAAAGGCAGAAGGGCTAAGAGGTGAACATCTGTTGGCCAGGATGACCAGTAAATAGTTGACTGAACAGAAAGCATATAGTCTACCTCTTAAAACAGGTGGTGGTAATGATTCTAGACTTGAACTAAAAGGAAAACCACCAACAATGCCAATTTGAATTCTCCAAGACCATGGAAAATCCTGTTTCTTGCACTGTGCTTTTATTATGGGGACTAATTTTTAAGAGGGTTTTTTTTATCCTTGGTTTGGTATCTATAAAAAACTTGGCTGTGTCATCAATTCAAAGTGAAAGTGTGAATTAGAGTAACTCAAACAGTAAAATGTAACAAACTTGGAAGTAACAAAACAGTAACTTGGAAGAAAATGTATTTTCATAAATATTTTTGGCATATCACAGAAGTTGTAATTTTTCAATTTCTTTCCCTAAGCATTTTAGTGGGAAAAAAGGCCTAGTGATCTACTTCCAAAGAGTCAGCCAGTGGAAACCCTAGGGAGCACAGTTCTATCCTGACGCACACAGATTGCTGTGAGTGGGAGCTGGCTCCATAGCACCTGGTTGGGTGGTTGATAAAGCATTGTGGCAACATTGCTGGGTGGTTGATAAAGCATTGTGGCAACATTGCTGGGTGGTGATAAAGCATTGTGGTAACATTGTTGGGTGGTGATAAAACCTTGTGGTATCATTGAAATGACATACTGTTAACAAGCTGAGAGGAGAGGAGAGCTGAGAACCCACCTGTGACCTAAGCTCGTGAGTTTGGATGATAATATCCCTTTACCCAAAGAGAAAGATGCTAATCTGTTTCTCAGTGCTGGGTTTACTGTGGGGATTTCAAGGCTGGCAATAGACTTGGGATAAGATTTCAGATCTTGTCATTTTCCAGAGATTTGTTCTCAGGTGCAGCTCTCTTTTGTTTATTTGGATGGAATTGGGCCCTATGTAATTTGAGCTTTCTAATAGAAACTGGGAAAGCCCCTTCTCTGTGATCTCTTAAAAGACTGGTGTTCCGAGTTTGGATTTGGCTTATTTAACAAGTGCTATGCAACCATATATTCTTTATTTCAACAAATATTTGAGTACCCACTATTTCCAAGAAGCATTCTGGATATGAAACAAGGTAGATTCTTCTGTTGTTGGTGGGTCCCATGAAGTCAGTTCTGTCTCCTACTGACCTTATGCACAACAGAATGAAACATGGACCAGTCCGGCATCAACCTTGCAATTGTTCCCATGCTCATTGTAGAACAAGAAAAAAGGATAGGTGCTAGATAGAGATTCAAAATTGGGTAACATGAGAGTGGAAGATGACTTTGGATTGGGTGTTCAGCAAAGTCCTCTTAAGGAAAATCTGGAAGGCCACATGAAATTTGGAGCAAGACTCCTAACGGAGGAGGAATCTATGCAACACCTTTAGAAAGGAGCAGGCGTGATGTACTCGGGGAAGAGAAAATCTGGTGGAGTTGGAGTTTAGGGAGCCAGGGGGAAAGTGGTTCAAGATGATGCTGGAGGGGAACAAAGATCAGAACACAGGGCTTTGAGGATTCAGGATGAAGAATTTGAGGGCAGTAGAGAAACATGGGGGTGGTACAGAGAGGGAAGGAATAATCGATATTTGGAGAAGATCACAGCTTTATGAGCAAGGATTATAGAGATGAGTAAAAACACCAGCTGGGAAACCTGTGTGTGGTTTTAATGTGAAAATCAAGGTAAGAGAAAGCTAGTAAGCACACTGCTTTGGGATAAATGAAAATGCAATTGACAGGACTTGTTTATGGAAGTGTGGGAAAAAATAAAATAATACATAATTTCTGGGTGAGATGACAAAGAGGTCTACTTTGATAGTCTATTGTAGCGTTACCGTATTGTGTGTATGCAAGGCAATTATGAATCATAGCAACCTTATAGGACAGAGTAGAATTGCTCCATATGGTTTAGGTTTCCTGGGCTGTGATCTGGAGTGCTTGGAGATAGAGATCCTAGGTAGTAATGAACTGAGATGGACTGGTAGTATTGTTAGGTGCCATCGAGTGGGTTGCGACCTACATGCAACCCTCTGCACAACAACGAAACGCTGCATGGTCTTGTGCCATCCTCACAATTGCTCCTATGCCTGAGCCCACTGATGCAGTCCCTGCCAGTCCGTCTCATTGAGGGCCTTCCTCTTCTTCACCAACCATCCACGTTACCAAACATGATGGCCTTCTCCAGGGACTGATCTGATCATATGTCCAAATGATCATATGTAGGATGAAGTCTTAACCATTCTTCTAAGGAGCACCCTGCCCTCACTTCTTCCAGTACAGATTGGTTTGTCCTTTAGGTAGTCCGTGGTACTTCAACATTCTTCTCCAGCACCACAATTCAAATGCTTCTATGGTTTTCCTTATTCAGTGTCCAACTTTCACATGCATATGAGGCAGTGGAGACTACCATGGCTTGGGTCAAGTGCACCTTAGTCCTCAAAGTAACTTCCTTGCCCTTCAATACTCTAAAGAGGCAGCAGATTTACCTAATTCAACTCGTCTTCTGATCTCTTGCTTGCTGTCTCCATTGAGCATGGGTTGAGGATCCCAACAAGACCAAATCCTTGACAACTTCAACTTTTTCTTCATTTATCATGATGTTACCTATTGGTCCAGTTGTGAGGGTTTGGGTCTTCCTTACATTGAGTTGTAATCCATACCGAAGGCCATAATCCGTGATCTTCATTAGCAAGTGCTTCAAGTCCTCCTCACTTTAGCAAGCAAAATTATGTCATTGCATACTGCAGGCTGTTAATAAGCCTTCAATCTTGATGCTGTACTCTTCTTCATATAATCCAGCTTCTCTGATGATTTGCTTGGCATATAGATTGAACAAGTATGGTAAGAGGATACAACCCTGTTGCAGATCTTTCCTGATTTTAAACCATACAGTATTCCCTTGTTCACACAACTCCCTTTTGATCCAAGTACAAGTTCCGAATGAGCACAATGAATTGTTTAGAATTCTTCTAAAGGGCTATTCACAGTTTATTATGGTCCACACAATCAAATGCATTTGCATAGTCAATGAGAAACAAACCTTTTCCTGGTATTCTCTGCTTTGAGCCAAGATCCACCTAACATCAGCAATGATATCTCTTGTTCCACATCCTCTCCTGAATCTGTCCTGAACTTCTGGCAGTTCCCTGTCATTGTATAGCTACAACCATTGTCGGATAATCTTAAGCAAAATTTTACTTGTGTGCGATATCAATGATAATGCTCTGTAGTTTGAGCATTCTGTTGGGTCACCTTTCTTTGGAATAAACACTAATATAGATCTCTTCCAGTCAGTTGGCCAAGTGGCTATCTACCAAATTTCTCAACATAGGGAAGTGAGTGCTTCCAGAATGCTTCAACTTGTTGGAACATTTCAATGGGTATCCTGTCAATTCCTGGAACCCTTGTTTTTGGCTAACACATTCAGTGTAGTTTTGAACTTCTTTCAGTACCAATGGCTCATGCTCATATGCTGCCTCCTGAAATGGTGGACTGTTGGTTAGTTTGTTTTGGTACAGTGTTGGACTGGTGTTGGCTGTTTTGAATGGGAAAGTGGCTTATGCATTCGTATGCTAGCTACAAAAGTTTGCAGCTGAAACCTACTACCCTGTTTCCCTGAAAATAAGACAGTCTTTTTTTTTTTTTGGCCAGGGATTTTAAACCTTATTATTTAGTAACTAAAGATAAATAGAATTTTAGAACCTTTTAAAAATCATTTTATTAGGGACTCATACAACTCTTACCACAATCCATACACACATCAATTGTGTAAAGCGCATTTGTACATTCATTTCCCTCATCATTCTCAAAACATTTCTTCTCCAAATAAGACAGTCTTATATTAATTTTTGCTCCCAAAGATGTACTAGGTCTTAATTTCAAGGGATGTCTTATTTTTCCATGAAGAAGAATACGGTACATATTTATTGTTTATTGTTTTATTAAAAGAGACCTCGCACTTCCTGTCTACTCCAACTGTGCTGCAGCCAACAGTGAGCTACACGGTGGCACCCACCGCTATGGTCCAGAGTTACGTTAGCTTCAGGGGGTGCTTATTTTCGGGGGGGATGCCTTATATTTCAGTGAGAGGCAAAACTAAAAAGTAGGTCTTATTTTCGGGGGATGTCTTACTTTCGGGGAAACGGTAGATGTTTCATGGGAGGAAGTTGAGGCTTTCTTCTCCCATAAAGGTTTATAGCCTTAGAGCAGTTCTACACTGCCCTATAGAGCTGTTAAGAATTAGAATCCACCCTATGGCTGTGAGTGAGTGCTATGCCAAGAATGACAAACAGGTGCAGCATCGTAGTAATTGTCAAAAAACATTTCAAGGTGTGTGCTGAAGTACAGTTCTGTCAGCGATAACGATAAAATGTATAGTCGAATAAGGAACAGGTAATATTACTATTGAGATTTATGTTCCGACCACAAATGCCACTGAAGAAGCTGAAACAATTTGTAACATCTGCAGTCTGAAATTGATCAAACATGCCATCAAAATGCACTGGTCACTCGTGGTGATTGGAATATGAAAGCTGGAAGCACGAAGGATCCCAAACTCACTGCCATCAAGCCCACTGCAACACTGCATAGGAAACAAGAAGGATCAGTAGTTGGAAAATATGGCCTTGGTGAGAGAATCACCACCAGAGACTACATGGCAGCAGTTTACAAAACCCAAAATGTACTCATTAGAAATATATTAAATTTTATAAGACTAATTTTTTATGACCTATCACAGTAAATACAAAATAAACAGCAACTGTAAAAGTAGGCCTCACAAGATAGCATACACCATCAGCAAGTCACGTACATCCGTGCGAAAATGATACAGCAGCTCCATGATAGGAGCCACAAAAGGCTACGGGTTGACTGGGACAGACTATTGCTCATGTGCAAGTTCTTACCGAAGCTGAAGAAAAGGAAGAGAAGACCCCGAGTCTATCCCACCTGAAGACAGGGACCATCTCAGTAACAAACTTGGTGCATTAAACATGAATGATCGAAGACCAGACACTGGGATGACATCAAGGATATCATACACAAAATATCACTATAAAGGTACGAGAGAGAACAGGCAAAAATGGATTTCACGAACAATTCTGACACCCGCTCTTCCATGTAGAGTAGCTAAAGTAAATGGAAGAAATAAAAGATGAGTGAACAAAAGATTTCGAGGGCAGCTGGACAAAGTAAAGTATCATGAACTGTACAAAGACCTAGAGCTGGGTGGGTATCACCTAGGTGGGTATCACCTAGAGCTGATACCAAAGGTTCAGTAGAAAATAAATGTCTAAGAAATAATGATGG